TAGTTAAAAGTTATCTGCCATGCTGACAAGATAATCACAAAGTTATCTGTTAAAAACGACGACTTAAGTGAGAAAACATTGGATAATAGTAAAAAGAGAGGAGATAAAGGGATAAATAGATAAGTTGGTGAATAAAAACAAGAATTTTACAACCCTCACTGTTTTCCAAGTCCAAGAAAATATTCGTTTGCTCAAACCTTCTCTATCACCACCTTATTGTTCACATTGTACTGCCTGTGAATTTTTGACAAGAACTCACCTAACCTTCGTATGATCCCATCCTTGGATTCTATTAATTTAGGAAGAGTGAAAATGGTCTCTTCCCTATCATCCTTGCTGTCCAACACACAAGTTCTCCTCCCAGAAACGCACGGCTCTATCATTCAAATTATAGTACATTTGGACCACACGCTTGTAACTACTCCAGAATTAATTGAGAAATGAGTCTAATCAACTTACCATGTTTATGGTTTTAAGTTGTAGCAGCATAGTTCTCACTAAACGAGAAAAAAGAAAATTTTAGTTGTTCAATGTCGATTCAATTTGTGCTCTAGCATAGGCCAAACTAGTAACAAGACTCGAGCATTTCCAAACTTTGCCATTTTTAATGATGATTCCACTTATGGTCTAACATAGGCCAAACTAATAACGAGGCTTGGAGCATCTTCAAGAAGCTAATTATTAGCTTACTTTGTCACCTAAGCTTAACCTCACTCGAAAACATATAATTCAAGAAAGAAATTATCTTCCATTAAATCCTAAAACTAATCTTGAGGTTGAATAATTCTTTCATCGAATTCTTGAACCAAAAGAACTAAATTATAATCCACCTAATACTTCTGTTATCTTTTGTAATACGTAGCTTATTTTCCAAATAATTTGTTGCTAAATTCATCCATATGATTGGACTAAGTTCTAATAATTTTTCCTCATTATTTTTAGGTCAAGAGATCATTGAACCACCCAAGATCAGGACCCAGCCAATCTACCTTCATTATTCCCCTCATTGTCTTCCATCAAATGTCTTGCAGAAAAATCCCCATCCACGAACTATTTGCTACAACCATTGAAGAATTTGGGCGAGGGACTTGATGCGACTTGATGCTGGAGGAGATAAAATGAACTGGGATTGTTGAGAGAGAGAGAGAGAGTGATGAGGATAATGTGACGTATGGGCAGAGAGGTGCGTTGCTTGATAGTACAAAGGGTTTTACACGCAAAATAGTATATGTTGCAGCTTCACATTACACACTGCATGCAAGACTCCTGTTCCGGTTTTAGGTTAAACAATTTTGTATTCTTATAAGGTTTTGATATCACCACCTATAGGGTAGAAATGGATTCAAGGACAGCAATCCCATTTGAAACGTCGGCCTAAATCGTGAACGGGATTACAAGAAACAATACAATTTGTTCTGCTGCTAGACGAAGCATCACAAATGTTACACTCTAAATAGCAGAAGTTCAGTAGGCTTCACTAGCTTTAAGTAACCTACCTGAGTTTTCACTGAAAGTTCAATAACTGCAGATAGAATATACCCTTTAGTTGATTGGACTCAAGCAAGACAAAGATTAAGATAAACAAAATATTAATTAAATAGAGCTAAAAAAATTGGACAGAATAGGTCAACACACAAAATTTAAATTAGTTTCCTGGATTTGACAATACTGAACAGAACAAAGTGACATCCCGTTCAACCCACCAATCATGCTCTAAGAACGCATTGATACGGAGCACTCGTCTGATCTTGGTTGAAAAACTTAATGAAAGAAATACATCACAATTGCAAAATAAGTGATTATCCCACATAAACACTTACCAAACCTCACTAGACATTGGAAAAACAAAGCAGACAGGCTAAATAATGTATTGTCAATAACTTCATATATATACAATTGTAATCTAGGATGCAAATCCTGTCCTCAAACAAGAGAAATAACTTATGGCCAATACACACAACAGCACAATTCAGCTGATCACATATTTCAATCCGTTGAACATTGTTTCATAAAGCATAATCTCGACTGAAAGAAAATGTACAACAGATTACTGAAACCTGACAACAATGCAAGAGATATCATCCTTACTTTTCCTAGAAACAGCCTCCTCAACCAAGTGCTTTGCAGCCGATTGAGCACTCTTAGTGTTTCTGATGGATTCAACAGCTTCTTGATTCGACATCACCTACTAGACAGTTCGTACAAAAATAAGAATACAATGATTACAACTATAAATATTGTAGATATAGGCTTCTGAAATATCCCACCTTCCATAATCCATCACTAGCTAAAATGATAAGCTCTAGTTCATCATCTACCATCTCAATTGCAACATCTGGTTCCGAACTAAGATGTCTCTTCAAGCTCTTGTCACCAAATGCCCTGGCTACTGCAAGCTGACCATCAACTCGAGGAACATCACCTGTGGGAAGCACTAAATCTCAGCTAGATGAATAGGGGATAAGGGACCTTAAAGAGTTAAAAGTTGCTTTCTGAAACTAAGAAACTGCTTATGAACTTGTTTGAATAATTTTTTATAAGTGGTTCATATGATTAGAATAGCTGAAAGGAAGCTGACCTAAGGTGACTTCCCTCATGGTGACCTCCTGCTTCCCAAGCAGAAAGGCTATCCGCTCAAGTTATTCTGTTGTTGAAA